CCAATCATATAATATATAAAAGTTGATGATATAGTGCATTGAGGGCGTCCACATGGGATTAAAAAACTCAATCTGATTGATCCACATCAGCATATTCATTAAAAGAAATGTTAAATATGATTATGACAGAAAAACTTGATTTAATTGGTCCACATCAACTTTTAAATTTAACCAAAAATTATTAAGTATAATTAAAAAGTTAAATAAAAAATTAACAATTAACAATACATGTATAAAAAAGTAATATTATCAATTATCAATTTAAAAAAATCTACAACAACTCGATTTAATAATTAAAACAATGAAAACTGAATAAAAATATAACATAAAACTCTTGGAAGACACGATAGAGAAGGAAAAAATAGTTTTGCATGATCATTACAGCTTCCTAACAAAATTAAATGTGAATCAACATGAATCATGAATTCTATATACAGTGGTACACAACATCAATAAGACTTTCAATAAAAAAACTAAATATTTGAACACATAAACCTTCAAGAAAAAAAAACTATAGAAATTTTATAGAAAACAGAAAATAATACCAAAATCTTAGCAAGATTATATTTCTCTAAATCAAATGTATATGTACGTCAAAATTGAATAATTCGATAGGTGTCATTATTATTATTTTACCTAATAGTTTTTTAAAATTTATAAATAAAAATAGGATAAATTATACATTATATATTAAATTCTCTTATATAAATAAAAAATTTTATAAATATATATATATAATTTTTAATAATTTTAAAAATAATAACTCAAAAAAATAAACTAAAATATCAACACAGCACGAATTATATACCTAGTGCATTTAAAACGTAAAACGTTGAGCCAATTCTTCACAGCCTTCGGAAACGCCTTGCTGTTTCGTCATTCTATAAACCTACGCTCCGCTGGTTTCTAGACATTTTCGTCTTCGACGTCAAATCTGGCTTTTCTTCATCTCTTCATATTCATTCCTCTTTCTCCAATCCTCCTCATTCTCTCTCTCCGACTCGATCTTCTGCTTAAATCCATTTGATATCTTTTCTCATCACGATTTCAAGGACCCATTCGATCCTTGATCACACTTATTTTTATTTTTTTCCCTTCAATTAAGCAGAAGGACAACAAATTCGAGTCAAGAAAAAACTGGTAAACCCTAAGTTATGTATAGCAATTTTAAGGAACAAGCGATCGAGTACGTGAAGCAAGCGGTTCAAGAAGACAATGCCGGGAATTACAATAAGGCCTTCCCTTTGTATATGAACGCGCTTGAGTACTTCAAAACCCATCTCAAGTACGAGAAGAATCCGAAGATCAGAGAAGCTATTACGCAGAAATTCACCGAGTATCTCCGCCGTGCAGAGGAGATCCGTGCCGTTCTCGATGAAGGTGGATCGGGTCCGGGATCTAACGGCGACGCAGCGGTCGCGACGAAGCCGAAGGCTAAGGGTAAAGACGGAGAAGGTGGTGGTAAAGACGGAGAGGATCCGGAGCAATCAAAGCTCCGAGCTGGTTTGAACTCTGCGATCGTGAGGGAGAAGCCTAATATTAAGTGGACGGATGTTGCTGGGCTTGAAAGTGCTAAGCAAGCTTTGCAGGAAGCTGTGATTTTGCCTGTTAAATTCCCACAGTTCTTCACCGGTGAGTAGTTTGAATCATATGTATGAATTGTGCTTCATTGAAATCATTTGAAAAGACTATTTTTTTTTTTTTGTATTTTGTATTTTGGTGGAGAAGATAGTGAATTGATTAATCTTGATTATTGATTTCTTAGGAAAGAGGCGGCCATGGCGAGCTTTTCTGCTGTATGGGCCACCTGGAACTGGAAAATCGTACTTGGCCAAAGCTGTTGCTACTGAAGCAGATTCTACGTTTTTCAGGTAACTTTTATATAAAAGTGGTTAAGTCTCGGAAGAAGATGATAGTGCAGTGTCTTCGCACTTCCATTTTGGTTTCTTGCCATAAATCAGATACTCGTGGATTTGAATAGTTACTAAGAGATTGGTTTGAGTATGCTATTGAATTACTCCCTAGCGAAGGTTACTTTTAGTTTCTTTGGTTTTGTTTGCTCTTGATTTATTTCTGTTCATGTTCTTCGAATTCAGGGAGTATTATGTTTGCTGCAAAGGTATCATTTTTAGCTGTATCTTGCATATAGTTGTAGTAGTCTGAGTCTCTGCTATCCACAAGCATCTGACTGCAGCTAGATTTGGAAAGCTAGTGTGTACTAGTCTCTGGTAGAATCTAAATGTCCTATAGGAGAACTAAGACAAGTTGTTTTGATTAGGCACGCATGGAAATCATTGGGTGTAAGGGTACCACACATTTTTGTTTTAATGCGACATTCTTGATCACAAGATGAAATCTTTCTAGTTTCTAAGCTAGCATAATCTTGTGCTGGGGTCTTGGGTTTTGATTTATGGCTTGCTATGTACTTTATGTTTTGTTGTTTTTCTATTTCATCTTGTGTATACAGTGTTTATACTTGGAAACACGTTATAGCTTAAGAATAGTTGTTTCCTTTTTACCTCCCAACCATCAGCGTGTCTTCATCAGACCTGGTCTCGAAGTGGATGGGAGAAAGCGAGAAGCTAGTATCAAACCTTTTCGAGATGGCCCGTGAAAGTTCTCCATCGATTATTTTCGTTGATGAGATAGATTCTCTGTGTGGTCAACGTGGAGAAGGTAATGAGAGCGAAGCTTCAAGACGTATCAAAACAGAGCTTCTTGTGCAGATGCAGGTACAACAAAATCTTATCCGAACTAAACTCCCTGTCATTCAATCCTAGCAGAAATTTATTATCTCTTTTTCCTATAGGGTGTTGGACACAGTGATGATAAAGTACTTGTACTTGCTGCAACGAATACACCTTATGCTCTTGATCAGGTGAAAAGTCAGAAGAGTGGATTAATTCTTTTATTTTCTTTGCCAGTTTAGAAAATTACTGCTTTCTTAACACCATTTTGATTTCAGGCTATTAGACGACGTTTTGATAAGCGTATCTACATTCCTCTCCCAGAAGCCAAGGCTCGGCAGCACATGTTCAAAGTATTCATAGTTCATTTGCTTCAGGTTCCTCAACTAAAGTCATTCAAGAGAACATAATCTAATGATGTTTTGTGTTATATGCAGGTCCATTTGGGAGACACGCCTCATAATTTAACCGAACCTGATTTTGAATATTTAGGACTCAAGACAGAAGGGTTTTCTGGTTCAGATGTGTCCGTTTGTGTAAGTAACTTGGCCCACGTGCTTTATTGTTTCCACTGTTTGCCAGGAAGTAGCTTTTGTTATGAGAATCTTTTCTCGCTCTTGCAGGTGAAAGATGTTTTATTCGAACCTGTGCGCAAAACTCAAGATGCAATGTTCTTCTTCAAGTCACCTGATGGTACATGGATGCCATGTGGACCCAGACAACCTGGAGCCATCCAAACCACAATGCAAGATCTAGCAGCTAAAGGCCTTGCCGAAAAGGTAAACATCAAAAATTTATATCTTTGATTTGCTTCTGTGTTTCAAACTTCTGTGACTTTTAATTCTTTCAATCTTAAGTGATAAATCTGCTCGTTTAGCATGATTATGCACTGGTGTTAAAAGAATTTCACTTCTTTTGGTCAAATGATTCTGAGTTTCTTGGGTTTTGTAGTTATTAAGCCTTGTTTGCTGTTAAACTTGAAGACTGATTTGTGTAAATTTACAGATTATTCCACCACCAATCACCAGAAACGATTTCGAGAAGGTACTTGCTAGACAAAGGCCAACAGTGAGCAAATCTGACCTTGATGTCCATGAGAGATTCACACAGGAGTTTGGAGAAGAAGGTTGATAGATTTGTCACTCCTCTCATATCATTAGTGTCTCTTGACTCTCCTTATGTATGTACTTGAGAAGGAAACAAATCTCAAACCCTTGTTTCATTTGTTCCCAAAACATTGCATTTGCTTTATTTCTCGAAAATGTGTAAAAAATGTTTTAAAATGCTACGAACAATGTTTTTCCATTTTTTATTATTGTCACCAAAAGTCACCACATGAGCAAACCCCAGCACTACTAAAATGATGAAACCGGTTTGTATCTCTAACTACAATCTCTCTTCCTTCAATCTTTGCAATCATTTTGATAACTACATGACAATCTCCACAAACTCTAAGATTCTTAATGATCAAAAGTGGGCTTCCTTTAGGCGTAGCGATCAATCCAAAAGCAATAGCTAATCTCTCACTATGCTGAGCAAGAACAGCTTCTTTATGCTCATCATCAATGTCTTGAAGCACATAACTTGTATCAGGCTCATACCCTAAGTCCTTAAGCCGTGTACTCAAATCTTGTAGCTTCTTATAGATCTGATCTCTCAGAGGATGAGACCTATCACCAGCCAAGAACGCGTAAGTCTTGTTCTTGATCTCAATCCAACTGTAACCAGCTTCTTTCTTCACCTTTCTCTCCTCCATAAGCTTCCTCACTTTAGCTCTCTCTTGCCAATCTCCTGACTCTGCATACATATTAGACAACAGAATATACGCAGCTGAATCCTCTGGTTTCATCTCAATGATCTTCTCTGCAGCTAATCTCCCAAGCTCTGTTTTCTTGTGGACACGACACGCACCAAGAACCGTTCTCCAAATGGTCGAACCAGCCTGATACGGCATTTTCTCTATGACCTTCATAGCCTTTTCAAGTTGCCCTGCTCGGCTGTATAGATCAACCATACAACTGGTATGCTCTTTAGTAGGTACAATCTTGCATTCTCTAACCATTATACCGAAATACTTTTCGCCTTCTTCTACTAAACCCGCATGTGTACAAGCAGCAAATACTCCAGTGAATGTTACTCCATCCATCTTCACCTTTCCCTTCTTCATCTTCTTGAAAACATCAAGAGCCTTCATAGCTTGCCCGTGTTGCGCATATCCAGAGATCATCGAGTTCCACGACACTAAATCTCTCTCTCTCTGCCTCTTAAAGACTACTTCCGCGCTCTCGATGTTGCCTTTCTTTGCATACATTGTTAGAAGAGCGCTACTAACACAGAGAGAGTTCTCAAACCTTGATTTTATCGCGAACCCGTGGAACTGCTTCCCTTGACCCGTAGAGGCAGTAGCAGCAGCGCAGACGTTAAGAACGCTAGAGAATGTGAACTCGTTCGGTTTAATCCCTCTCTTTGTTAGCTCACTAAACATCTTTATAGCTTCCTCTGTCTCTCCGCTCTGAGCATACCCTGCAAGCATCGCTGACCAAGCCACAATGTCTTTATCATCAATACCGCTAAAAGCCTTTGCAGCTTCATCTACTTTACGTAACTTCACATAAGCATCAAGAAGAGCGGTTCCAACTGTTGAAGATCTCTCGTAGTTAGTCTTTACAACAAGTGCATGAACCTCTGATGGAGAAATCACAGGAAGAGCTGTGAGAATCACAGAGTAAGTGAACTCGTTTGGGCTAACACCTTTCCTCTTCATTCCCAAAAACAAATCAACAGCTTCCTCTTTCCCATCGTTCTGCAAGAAACCACTAATCATCGCTGTCCACGACACAACGTTCCCGAGGAAACCAGTTTCTTTAAAAATCCTAAGAGCTTCACGCATCGCTTTACACTTACTATAAGCTACCATAAGAGCCGTCCTTATGTTCTGATCAAACAAGAACCCATATTTCACAACACTGCAATGCAGCTGCTCAGCGAACCTAAGTTCCTCGAGGTTAGCGCAGAGCTTGATAACCGATGCAAAGCTCGATTCAGATAACCGAACATGGTCAAGTCTCATAGAGTGAAACATTCTCAACGCCTCTAAATCAAGCCCGTTCGATGCATAACCGGAGATCATACTGTTCCAAGTCACAACACTCTTTACTTCAACCTTATCAAACAAGATTCTAGCTTTCTTGACATTCCCACATTTCAGATAAAGATTAATCAGAGAGTTTGAAACCGGAATTGTTTTATCTAAACCGTTCTTGACAACGACTGTATGTACCTGAGTCCCTCTCCCATTAGCTCCTTCTTCAGCCAAAACTCCGAGAGCAGCCGCGAAAGTAAACGAATTCGGCTGAGTCCCTTCTTCCTGCATTCGTGAAAACAACTTCAAGACTTCCTCGTTCGACGAATTTCGAGCATACCCGCTTATCAAAGTAGTCCAAGTAACAACATTCCTCTGTTTCATCTCCTCAAAAACATTCCTTCCTTCTGTAATCTTGCTGCCTTTCATGTACGTATCAATAAGCGATGTGCCAACACTAACGTCGTCTAAAAAACCAAACTTTACACAGTGGCAATGCAATTGTCTGCCTAGAAGCTCATCACAGAGAGTAGCTGAAACCTTTAGAACAGAGGAGAACATTGCGCACTCCATCTCAATTCCAGAACGGTGAATGTTCATGAAGAGTCTCGTTGCTTCTTGAGTTCGTCCTTCACGGGAAAACCCAAAGAGTAAGCTCGTATAATTTTCATGATCTCGGTTAGGACTTTTGTCGAACACGTTGTGTGCACTGTATAAACGACATGATGAAGAAGGTAAAGAACCAGCTGTGTATATATGATATTTGGGTTTGAGCTTTCCCAGAGATTGTTGTCTCCATACTGTCGTCGTGAATCGCATTTGCTTCTCAAGATAAAGAACTAAAATTTTGTGGGTTTTTTCAAATTATTCATTTTCATCACTATACATCGACATGATACTGATTTCTTTTTTCAAAATATTTATAAAAAAATTTCGTTTTTCTAAATAATTACTATGATGGTGTCATTTCAGTAGGTGACATGCAGGTTTATATTTTAGAATATATTTTTAGATATATAACTAATATAATATTTTATTTTAAATATTTTTTTTTAATTATTAACTATAGTAATACATAAATACTAGGTGTTTCTCCGAACCTTATACGGGTTTTGATTATTTTTTTTTTAAAAAATATAATATTAGTTTATTTATAGATAAAAAAATCAGATTTTATAATAATTCGAAACCAAATTTAATATATTTTAAAAAAAAATTTATGAGTATATTATTTTTTGTGACAAAGCAAAATATATTATTTATATCTTATTTTTTTAATATCTTTTATATTATCCGATAAAAACTTATAAGTATGCTTTGTTGTTTTGTTGCATTAATCAAATAGGATAAATAATTCTCTTCTTTTAATATAAATTGGTAAATTATGATTAATAAAATTCAAAGTTTGCACTAAACAAAAAATATAGCACTCCAAAATGACCAAAACCAAATGATCTTGTTTCATATCAACTTAATATTAATTAATATATACAGAGTTTTAAAAGGTTTAAATGATTTAGAGTTTTAGTTATGATCGCATAAATCAATTAGGTTAGTCAAAAAATTAGTAGGTTAAATAATCAAATTAAAATTAGTTTAATAAAATAATTAGGATTTTATTTATTTATTTATTCTAATTACTCTTTTTTAGTAAACTGTATATTTTTATGATATAAACATGAATTTGGAAATCTAGATTTAAAAAAAAAATAAAAATCAATTAAAAATTAGATTATATATTTTTTTTTCATTAAGGGTAATTAAAGTAAATTGACATAAGTGACAAAAGTTAATTAACTATCATAACTGTTAACCAGAACACAACATACTTTTCAATTAATAATATGATTGTTTAAATTCATCGATATTCTCTTTCATCTATACTTTGAAAAGTTGTGTTTATTTCTATTTTTAAATTTCTCATAAACTGCCATCACACAATATCTCTTTCAAACATGTTGCATTGTACATTTTTATTTATAAAGACAATATTGCATTTTTTATTTACAAAGACAATATCTAATAAAACATTTGATTATTTTTACTGTAATATTCCGATATAGATTAATGAGTTTGATCGTCGGTTTTCTTAATCATTCAATCTGCTTTTTTATTTTGATTTTTGTACGTACCATTTCTTTACAAAAAATCTGGAAATCGAGTAGGAACAAATTGGACACGGTAAACAAATATTCAAACACACAAAATTGAAATGAAATCTAACCGACGACAAACTTAACACTGAGAGGATTGCATGTCTTTCCAATTAGAGAAAATCACACATAAAAGGTATTAAAAGAGATATAAATGTTGATATTATCTGTGAAATACTTACATAAAAATGCATTGATGTGTTTTAAAAAAGTAAAGAGATGTGTTCTGAAGAGAAAACCAAAGACATGTGTTCTAAAAACGAAGAAAGAAGAGATGTGTTATGAAAACCACAAACGAAAATATGTGATCTTCAAGAGATATGTTATGCTTGGATTCTGGTAGAATAATCCCACCGTAGAGATTACCTAACATATGTGTCATTCAAGTTCCCTAAAAAGTACAGAGCATATTTGATCTCTTAGAACCAATGTTGAATTGAAGTGGCTGTAGATTGAACCGAACATCCTCTGATGAGGTTCACAAGAGAATACTGATTCTAAAAGTTTTCAATATAAAGCTTACATTACAGCATCCTAGCGGGTCTCCTCTAGCCGAATCAAATCCTGCTGATACAATGCCAAAATCAGGACAAAATGCAGAATCTGCAAGGCATGTTCAAAAGATCAGTTCACTTGTTGAGCTTATCAGTCATCAATTAAGCCAAAGCCTGGTTTGTGGAAATCAAATATTTGTAAGGATTAGAGTTGAAACAAAATCGAAAGGGGAAAGCATAACACGACTCTGTATCAATGGAAAGAACTACATGCTGAAAGGCGTAGATATAGTCTTTATCACCAACTCCACCACAGCTCCTTGAAATATTTACACAATAGCCTTCAGCACCATTTGTACCAACCTGCACTGCATAATCAAATATTAGAAACTTTTGCTCTGCTACTCTTCAATAGATGTTCAAAACAAGATAGAAAGCACACTGTAACAATACATAATACAAACACAACAAATAAGCTTATATATAATATAGATATACTGCAGCAACTAAGTCTCGTAAGGAATAATTGAAAGTCAATATACAACAGAAAAGCATAGGTACCTCATCAGCAGCTCCAGTGCCCGGATAGAAGGTACCTCCCTCATGTCTATGCAAGGATATGTACAATACCTATACCATGTTTCCAGGAAATTAGTGTAAAAAGGTCAATTCACTCCATCCGACATTCCAAGACTCAATGACGAGACATGCATAGAATTAGGCAGCTTACAGATTTGTTTTGTTCGAATATTTATTGGGTGCCATTTCCATGATGGACATCCTGCAACAATGGAGAAAAAATATTCATATGAGCCATGGAAGTTATATACACATAACTTAGTACATCATGCTTTGTAAGGAAGAGAATATGTCTATACATCTAAAGAAAACTACTCAATTCAAATGCCAATAAGTTGCCACAATCGGTGCTTCAATAGGAACAACATCCTCTTGGGGATTAGTGCTGACAATAGCAAGAGAAGACATCCCAGCCTCCACATTAGTTTCATACACTTCAGGCATCTTACTACCACCCTTTTCGCTTTTGAGAATTAAAAATAAAAGATAGAAAATAGGAAACGAATTAAGACAACAAAAGAATTTTTTTTTTGATGAGTGGGATTCTTGAATTGGAGGTGACAAGACACCTAAATCATCATCATATCTATTACTAATAAAAGTTGATACTAAATGCCTCTAAGGGTGTCCACATAGGATTTAAAGATTCAATTCTATTAGTACACATCATCATTATTTTTAATTAATTATATATTATATATTATATATTAAAATTAATTAATTCGTTTCAATTGATATAGGGAAATTTTCTAAATTTTAATTTTTTTTTTGTTATTAGGAAAGTTTCTAAATTTTAAGTTAGTTATTAATAAAAAAGAGTTTAGAAAATAGATCTTATTTTTCTATTAACAATAAAAAGGTAAATTAACATATAAATAGATTATGAAAGAAAAATCATATATATTGAACAAAATTATTAAAAACTGAATTTAAACCATAATTAAATTATTTTAAAATTTTAATCACGATAAACAATTAAAATCTGAACTGCTAACTTAAAATATATTAGGTTTGGTCCGTGTTGATGTCTTAAGCCAATGAGAGCGTCCACATAGGACATATATACTCAATCTGATTAGTCTATATCAGCATTTTTCATTAAACATAAAAAAATAAAAATTATTATTAATAATTCAAATAAATTAAAACATACAAAATATAAAATTCTCACAATATAATGGAAAATTAAGATAATTTTTTTTAACTAAATAAAATAAATTTATGTCAAAAGTATAAATCTATTGTGAAAATAAAATGGAAAGTCATTGTCACAAAAACTAAACTAATAAAATGGAAAGTCATTGTCACAAAAACTAAACTAACAAAAAGAAATATGTAAATCAATAACGAAAAAGTTAAATTAAAAAACAATTAGCATAAATATTTTAAATGAGTAATTTATTTAGAAAAAATATTAAGATTAAATTTTAATATAAACATATAAAATTGTTATTTAAAAATATCAATACTACCAAAAAACATTCATCGTAAATTATCAAAAAGAAAGTCATATAAAACTTATAATTTTTGGGGAAATATTTAAAAAATTAACACAAAAATCTTAACAAACCAAAAATGTTACTTTATGCTAATTACTAATATAATATGACAAAGTTATGAATCAAATTCAAATATGAATATATGAAGATAAAATATTCAAATCAAAACATGAATAAACACACAAAAGATAAAAAAAAAAACGTGATAATGTGAAGTCTCAACATCATCTTACATGATTAAAAACAAATATTAGCAAATAGTTGACTGCAAATAAAACAGATCTTATAAACTGAATAGAGATATAACCTAAAATTCGTAGAAGATCTGGTGGAGAAGCAAAAAGCAGTTTTACATGATTAGTGTAGCTTACTAACAAAAGTAAATCTGAATCAACATATATCATATATTATATATGTATATGTACACAACATTAGTGAGACATTTAGTAAAAAAACTAAATATTTAAACATATAAATCTTTTAAAAAAAGAACCATAGAAATCCTAAGGATACAAAACAAAACACCAAAAATTTAGTAAGGAAATCATTTTCTAAATCGAACATATGCACATTAAAGTTGGATAATTCGTTAGGTGTCATTACTATGATTTTACTTAATAAGATTTATAATTTTATAAACAAAAATAGGAAATACTACATATTATGTTATATTTTTTTTATATAAAAGACAATTTCTACAAATATATTATAGTTTTGATAATTTAAAAGATATTAGCCAAAAAATTAAACCAAATTATTAATACAGACTCGCGCGTATAAATTGTATTGATATTGATACACATCATCGTTTTCTTAAGTTAATTATAAATTGTATATTAAAATTAATTAATTCATTTTAATTGTTATAAGGAAAA